AGTACTTAATTATTCTAATAGGTAACGATTTTTCCTGACACATTTCCTGATGTTATTGAACCAGGCCTGACGAGGAAACAACAGAAGGAAAGAAAAAGAGGTGTGCGAATCCTCCCCCCCCCCCTTTCCCTGTCCTCAGCCCCATCCAAATTATAATGTACATAGAAGGGACATTAAAGGATTCATGTTTGCCTATCGAGTTGATTACAAGCATTTCCAAGTTAAAAATAAAAACAACAACAAACAACTGAAATAGATCCTGGCATATACATATCATATACAGCATTTTTCTGACTTCAGCGAAGACAAAATAATTTTTTTATATTTTATTTTGCTTCACTTGGCCTGTATCCACACTGAATGTTCAGCACTAATAATAATAATAATAATAATAAATAGCATTTGTATAGCGCATATCCCCGCTCAACAGCAGGCTCTATGCGCTTTACATTATATTATTACCCCAGCAGCCCATAGAACACTCCGAAACATTCTCAGCTTCCCGGGAAGCATACTACAGTGAAAGCAGCTGATTAAGCGCTCAAACACTTACAAACTGACAAGATCTTTCGCTGTCTACAGCCGGGTACCCATTCCCACCTGGGTGAAGTGAGGAAAATTCGTGTAAAGTGCCTTTCCCAAGGACACAACGTCGGGCCCCCTGACGGGATTCGAACCCACGACCTTACGGTTGAGAGTCAGAGAGCCTAACCACTAGGCCACCGACGCCACTACTGGCTGGCCGATTTGCTTACAGACCTTGAACAGAAATGAGCAGGACAATAGAGGCTTTTTAGTTTTTTGTTAGAATTTTACGGCTCTGGCAACACAATTGGGTGATAATATAAGTGCGAGGTGTTACAAGAGAGAAACAATCACAAAAAAGAAGGAGGAGAGATAAGGACAATAATATTTGTTTGACAGGAAAGAAGGAGCAAGCCATACCAGAGCACCCACCAACCAACCTCGACAACAGGTTTATTGAAATCATAGACGCAGAGAAATCAAAGGCTAATCATTACTGCCGATGGTGTGTTTCTCTTCTTGCACTTGTAGAAGGAGATTTGCGTTATAAAAAGGAGTATGCTCAAATTCGAATTGCCGAATAGACAGCAAAAAATGGGCGGGGGGGGGGGGGGAGGGGGTGTGGGCAAGTATGTACTCACAAATTATTGTCGAATAGGAACCGACAAGAGAGACACCTATTCTGCGCATATCGAATAATCGAGAGAGAGCGGAAGAGAGAGAGAGAGTATGTGTGTGTGTGTGTGTGTGTGTGTGTGTGTGTGTGTGTGTGTGTGTGTGTGTGTGTGTGTGTGTGTGTGTGTGTGAGAGAGAGAGAGAGAGACAGAGAGAGAGAGAGAGAGAGAGAG